GTAAAGCATCTGTATTTTTCGCTTTCATATGATAAAGTGACATTACTTTCCATTTTGGCAGTTTATTGTACAATATTTTGAATCTGAAAAATAAACAAGGTAATAAATGCTATAAAGCACAATTTACGAAACGATTCTTAGCAAAAGCAAAGTAGCTACGTAATTAATTAAAAGTGCCTTTTTTAAAAAATTTTCGTGGTAAGAGTTTTTCCCGTGTAATTGTCTCAGAATATTCAGAATTCAAAGAATATGCATCAGTTTTCTCTATAAAATTAATTTTACATTTTTTTTAACCTCTTTAAAAAAAAATCTGGCTTTTGCTCTTACAGAATTGGTAAGGGTAATTTTTCTTTAGGGTTTTAGACAATGCAACTTTGACAGTTTAGAAGGATTTAAATGCAAGGTTTACAGAACCACGATTCTAGAAGATTCCAAAAAAATCTGACAAAATGAAAAATGTCTTCATAGTATTAACACATATTGGGTGTATTTTACAGAAAGTTTGTGATGAATTTCGTACTTTTTGGAGAATGTTTGGAAGGACAATGAAAATATAATGTTTGAATGTTTTACTTCTGATACTAGAAGTTTTTTTCTTAATATGTTTATTTTCTCTACTTTTCACTAGATACAAGAATGGAAAATATAAGAAGTTCTTCTAATCTTATCACATGGACAGGAATTTATACAAAGGAAATTTTCTGTTTATGAAAGAATTGAAAACTGACAATTTAAAAGATTTATATTATATGTCTCAATGCATCATACGTAGGGCTGGCGCTAGGCATTTTCTTACCTGATGCAATCTCTGTGGGTCCTAAATTCTGAAAGTTTTGCCAACTAGATTTTTGTTATTTGGTGTGTCGCTAAATTCTAAAAATTCTGCAACAAAATTTCAGTCCTTGCCATATATGTCATTTCATATTTATTCTGAATGTTCATATTATTAAAGAAGTAAAATTTGCAGCTTTTTCAATATGTTCAAAATGCATTTAGGTTTTTTCAAATGAGTTTGTGTAGGTTTGAGTACAGTAAGGGCTCACCAAAGCATAAATTAGTCAGATAGTTTCTAAACTGGAGTTTTTGAATTGTAAGAGAAAGTGTGTTTCTGGCCTCCTCTTGCATGCTGCTTTAGCTCTTGCCAGCTCTGATGATTTGTAATTATTCGTCGTGTTATCGTTGCCGACATTTTAATTTATTATAATGAAAGAGTTACTGAGCCAGCATAGATTCAAATTAAATTGTGTAGTCTTTGACTATTAGTTTACATTTTTAATTTGAATTTGACTGTGCCTATTTAATTACATCACCACGAGCTGTAGTTGATTTTGTTAGCTTAAAAACTTGCCTTTATGCTCTAAGTACTTTTTTAAAAAAGAGGTTTATTTAAAACTTTATCTGACTTTGTAGGTAATTTCAGACATGGCAGTAATTTACTTCACATCTGACAGCGGGTTGGACTATTTAACTTTTACCAGATCAAGTGAAACCTCATAAGTACATTGGTGAGAGAATGATAAGGCACGCAGAAATTAGCGGGAACATTAGTTTGCATATTGAAACGAATTTCTAATTCTTAAAAAAAGATGCTTAAAGAGAAGTAAATTCATATAAATTAACCAAAATATCTGGGTGGTCTTCAAATGAAAACATTATGGTTAATTTACATATCCTTGGCTACTAGAACTTTAGGGAAGTGTCTAGTGAATATTCTTACAACTATAAAATATAATTTCAAAGAATGGTTAAAATATCCTTTTATTCACTCAAAGAATTACTAACAGACGGCCTCTCTCTCGGGCTTAAAGGAAAACCTTTGCTTTAAACTAACTAACTAACTTCGCTTTAATTTCTAACTAGCCAAACTTTAGCCGAAGCTGTACAGAGATAGCTAACCGAGTTGGCCTGTAATTAAACCTCACTGGCGACAACTAACAGGCACGTAAGACTTTGGCCATACGTAGTAAGATAGGCTTAAAACACCGAAGTGGCCCAAAAGCAGAACACGCTCTACTGAGAACTTCTGAGCTCTTCTACAGAAGTGACTGAACTTCCCATTAAGTACTTGCTCTACTTTATTTACATAAAACGCGATACTGAAATCTCATTCTGCCATTATAGGTGGAAAACAAGAATTTAAAGGAAAGGGTTTCAAAATTATAAAATAAACCCTACAAAATTAAAAATACATGTAAATTTTTTGTTATATGTTGTTGCTACAAAATATAAATGTTTTGTTGTTTTTGATGTGTAGTTATCGTAATGTTGTTTAAGAATCAATGTCATAAATTATATATATTTTAAACTGTGAAATGTTATTAGATCATGATTTTGATAGTGTTTTTTGACAAATACTTTTAAAATATAAAAACATTCATATAAATCTGTAATGACTAAGCGTATCTAACTACCTTATTTAATTATTTGTAAACTGTTCACCCTTTAAAAGTTATCTCTGGATGTTAAAGTGAGTTATTGCCTTTCATTAATATTTACTATAGTCACAAGATACAGCACAAAAATATAAAAAATTAATGTAAAACATTCTTTGCATCTAGTGAGACTTAAAATAATACAAAACAACTTATCACTTCTGGTGCTTAATGGCTTATTGGAGCCTTAAAGTATGTTAATTGGGTTACAACCCCAGGAACTCTACACGAAGCTACAACACAAACTACATCAGATAGACGGAGCACAACTAACTTTCAAAACTTGCCAACTGTGCCTACATCATGCTTTCAGGTTAGTTTTGATCAGCAGGTCTCTCTCTAGGCAAGCAGCAGTGGTGGCAACACTCAATTTTCTGTTACAAATCATGCTGATTATGATTTTACTTCTCATTTTAACCTTTACTATTTACTAAACCTATAGACTGAGCAAGTATGTGATAAAATGAGTTTTAAAGAAAAAATCAACATATACCTAGCTGCTAGTAAGTCATAAATAAAACATCACTAATCTACTTTCATATACAGTCAAAAGTCTTTAATCCGGACTCGTCGGGACTTCGGCGATTCCGGAGTATCGATTTTTCCGGATTATAGATCATCAGTTTAAATCTCGTAAGATGGCATGCAGAAATTATAAAATTAAAAATATCAAACCGTAATTTATAAAATAATGAGTAATTATGATCTAAAGGGTATCAAAATTAACAAAAAAAAGAAGCTTAATATTTATTTGTTTACTTTATTAAACATTTCTTTCAACGCGCGCATGCGTAAAGCATACATTACGCATAGCCGAAATTAGAAAATTGCAACCAAAAAACTATTTGATTTGTATTCGTGATATTTATAATAACGAGGAATTTGATTTAAATCATATCAAAGACGGAGTATATCGAGATAAAATACTACATTTAGTAAGGAATTATAAGCCGAATAAAATAAAAACAACTGCCCTGAAGATAACGATTGTGTTGACAGATCAACTTCCAGTTCATTGCGCGCCTCGACGTCCCCCCCCCCCGCGCAGAGCAGCGTGAAATTGATAAACAGATTTCGGAACGGTTAGATAAACAAAGGATATGTCTTTATCCATTTTTTGTAGCAATTCCACTTTTTGTTTGATGGACATCGAAACATACTTTCGTTTTGTAGATCCTTTAGGAGCTCCAGCATCGGAAATTCTATTTGACATAATCGAAAGTTCAAGCTTACTTTTATAAAATTGCTCTTACAGTCTGCAAAAAATAATAAGCCGGATCCAATTCGAAGATTAAGGAACAACGCAATCATCAACATTAACTGAAATAGATAATTGGATAATTTTAGCTTATACTGTCCGTTATACATTAAACGCGCACGCGAAAACGTATTCTGCGCGTGCTTCAACGCGGTGCATGCGCAGAAAGATTTTGCCTTTGAGGTCCGGATTATAGATCATTCCGGATTATGGGTGTCCGAATTAACGACTTTTGACTGTATATCTTGTTATTATAAGTATAAAATATTTAATGGTAGTTGATAATTTTTTAAAGTTTTTTTTATTCTCAAATTTGTTTTAAAATTATGCTTAATAATAATACATCCTACATACGATCTATTTTATTCTTAGGTTGGCATGACAAAAGTGAAGTTCAGGCATAGATAATTTCTTTAATTGAATTTATTGAATTTATCCAGCTCCCATTTTCTGATAGGTCCTTTTTTTTTTTTTTTTTTTTTTTTTTTTTCTTTAATGGTCCTTAAAAGTACTTAATTTCCATGTGCAGAAATGCATATGAACTCTGTCTAAGTATTTTTACATTGCAGTGGACAAGAAATAAAAATGAATTTGCAAACCAAGAACTCATAAATGGATTTAAACTGACCGTGACCACATAAAATTATAATGAATATTTTTTCAGTTATTAAAAAATAAAACTTAAGAAAAGAATAAAACTCTTTTATTAATTGGATGAGTATGAAATGAAGTTTTTTTATCATACAAATGAAGAAAGAAATGAACAGTCCTTATTTTAATAATGTTTATGCATTTTAAGACTTTTGTTCTCTTTATAGATATTATGATCTATGTAAAAAATTTATGCATATTTTGCTTCTAGTATTTTATGAGTTTAACTGTATATATGTCTACAATCAGTACTTAAAGAAATAAAAAGCCACAGTCATCATATTCTAACACCTCTCTATATATGTACGCTCAGCACAAGTTAAATACAAAAACAAAATAATAGTGCTTTTATTTGCTATGAGATACTACTCACTTAAAAGTGTAATGATGTTGCAAGTTTAAAATGAGAAATACCCTTGAATATATTTTTTTAACATGAAATAAAAAATTGAATGAAATGAAATAAAAAATTTTACTTAATTATTGTAATTCTTCGTGTAGTGTTTCTAAACTAAGCAATGTGTCTAATATTTCCAAAAACTTACATAATTATTTCATTCTGTAAGTTTAGTCTTGTCTGTGAACTAATGAGCGGGAAAAAGCTGGAATTTCCACTTTTCTGTAGTTTTTATGATGTTAAAAATGTTTTATATTTTCAGTTTAAATGCATTTGCTCACGAGGCTATAAAGGTGACTATTGCAATGAAACAGAAGATTTTTGTGGAAGTAATCCATGTAAAAATGGAGGAGCTTGCAAAATTTATCAAGATGAAGATTATGCTACTTATCGATGTGAATGCAGTAGAGGCTTTGCTGGAGATCACTGTGAAATCAAAATTGATGAATGTTTAAATTTTCCTTGTGAACATGGCACATGTACTGATTTGTCATTTGGCAACTATAAATGTGATTGTTATCCAGGTAATATTTTAATGATATTTAACATTTTGAATTTCTGTGCAGTCTTTAGTTTCTGTATGATTGCAGTCAATTGGGATTTTGGACTTCTTAAGTTTATTTATATTTGACCCCTGTTAGCTATATAAAGATTCAAATTTTTGAGCATAGACAATTAAATAAATATGGCTTAGCTTTTAACCATTGCATTAATCTATTCAATTCCAACGAGTTACACCCATCACTGCATTGTAACCACTTTGCATGGAAAATACAATTCCACTCACTTCTGTTACTAAGAGTATTTCCATTCACATTAGTTACTATTTATATATATCAGTTGATTTTATATTATTATTCTATTTAATTATGAAATAATTTCATTTGTGTTTTAAGTATGAGCAAGCATAAAAATACCTTTGAGGAATGAGTGATATTAATAATGTTGATTTGATTTATGCCCCATAAGATGCTCAAAAGGTTATCATAAAGCATATTTTTACTAAGAGTGTACAGAGCTTTTCAGTATGTACATATTATACACTGAAGAGCCGAAACATCATGATCACCTAATCAATAATGTGTTGCAGGACCTCTAACTTGCAAAACAGCTGCATCTCGTCTTGACATGGATGCCCACAAGTTCTTGGTAGATGACTGGACACAGGTTGTACCAAATATCTAAGCAATGGTCATGCAAAGTGAAGATATTCAGACATGATGGTGTTTGAGCTCTAAGCTTCTGCTCGATGACATCCCAAATGTGCTCTATTGGGTTAAGATCTGCTGAGTTAGGTGGCCAGGACATTAACTGGAATTCATCCTTATGCTCCTCAAACCACTCCAACACAATTCTAGCCTTGTGACCTTGGCCATTGTCCTGCTGCAAAATTCCATTTCCATTTCCATTTCGGAAGACAGATGCCATGTAAAGGTGCAACTGATCCGCAATTATGTTCAGATCGTCCGCAGCTTTCATGGCCTGTTCTATCACGACTAAAGGCCCCAGAGCAGTCCATGAGAATGTTCCCCAAAGCATAATACTGTGTATGACCTGCTGTACAGGGGTAGGGAGAGCAAGTATTCACCTGAAAGATGGCGTACCCTGACTGACATAACCATTGACATGATGAATGAGAAATTATAATTCATCTGACAAGGCAATTGTCTTCCTATTATCTATGGTCTAGTCTTTATGTTCCCAGGACCACTGTAGGTGTAATTGAAAATGATGCTTGGTCAATTGCACGAGTCACATGAGTGACACATCTGCTGCTCAGTCCCATATCCAACAGGGTCCACTGAAATGTGTGTTCCGAAACACTTGCATTGTGAAGTGCGTTGTATTGGGCTGTCAGCTGAGCTACTTTCGGGCACCCATTTTGCTATGTACCAAGCAAAACAGTCTCTGACGTCCTTTTTCTTTGATGATGCTGAACGTCTAACACCTTGGCATCTACTGCTGGTTTCACTGACACTTTCCCACTTTGCATGTATACTAACAATTGTGGATCGTATACAACCTACCAGTCATACAGTTTCAGAGATACTCGTTCTCTGCCGTTGGGCCATTACAATCTGCCCTCTATCAAATTCGCTTAGCTCAGCAGCCTTTCCCATCACTCACTAGCAGCAATTAAATACCATTCCCACTTAATCATGTGCCCTCCAGGTAATCCCAACAAGTTAATTTTAAAAATGTGGGAATGGTCATAATGCTTTGGATCATCAATGTATAGTAAAATTGTAAATGAGATCCAAAGGCAGTTTTGATAATTTTCAATTACATGTTACAGAACAAATTTCATTAAGTGTTCTATATAAAGGCTACAATAACATACTGAAAAAAATTACCACCAGCTGTCAAATTAAAAGGAAACAAAATGTAGTTTATTAATATGTACAGTAACTTTTTTTCTAAATGTATTATCTAATAAATATTAATATGTTATATTTTTTTATTTATTTCTTTAATCTTGTATCTTCCAATCATCTTTCTTGGCAGATAGCCATTGTTTAATTTGCCTTAATTAAAATCAGTCAGTCTGTCCAAGCAGCTTTTTAGTATTTTTTTAATTATTCTGATGCTATCTTAAATCTGCAAAAATTTTTCAGTGATTTTTTTTTTATTCAGAATGATTCAGAACTTAAACTAAGAGCCCACCAAAGCCTGGCAGTGGTACTTCTCAGTCTTTGAGTAAAATCATTAGTCTAATCAGAAATGAGAGTAATTTATTATTTAACTATTTGTCATTAATTTATTTAATTTTAATTACATAAAATTATGTACTCTTTACATTTTATTTTAATGTTAATTATTTTCTTTATTTTGTTCACTTCTCCTGATATCCTTTCATAGCATTTTGGCACTTCTAAATTTTGAAATGAAGTCTTTAGGTTAATTTTTAATGTTTGTTTAGAAAAATTTTTTTTTTTTTTTTTTTTTTTTTTTTAGGAACTATAATTTGGTTTGGCAACCAGAATGGTCTGTTTGAATAATTCTGGATTAAATAAAGTGTTTATCATTGTTAAAGCTTTGGGGCTTTTATAATGACATTGCAACCTTTATATAGCTCCATTTCAATTTTGGTGGAGGAATATTTGTAGCTGGAATCCAGGAGTCTCATATCTGTCTTCTATTATAGCAGCTGTAGTAAATGATTTTAAAAATGAAAGATTATAAATATTCTACTAAGAAAAGTCATTATATAATCACAAACATTCAACTTTACAATGTAGCATATACCATATTGTCAATGGCGGCAGAGTTAAATATAATTTCTAGCACTAAGTTTTGTTAGACCAGTATTTGTGTCATTCCAAGCATGTTAGTCTTTTTTTTTCCCTCCTTATTTATACATATAAATATTTTGTACAGAATTTTTTATATTTTAGTAGGTTTTTAAGCAACTCCCCCAAAAAGCAAAAGTTAAATGAATGGTAAAAATGAGGATGAAAGTGTGGCATTTATTCAGTTAAGAAGTATGGCATTTATTCTAATAAAATTCTAGAAAACTTTCATAGCATTTTTACATGGATATTTGTTATTGTTTTTAAAATTCCTAAAATAAAGGTAATGAAAAAAATCTCTGGAAGTAGCCTAAAAGCATTTTTTATCCTTAAAAGGATATTTTAAGCTGTTAAAAATTAAAGTTAGGTCTTTTGTCTCTAATTTTAGAAAGGTATTTAGCAAATTTATTGGCTATCTTAAAAAAAATTCCTGATCTTAAATTCCTCTCTTGATTATTGCCTTTTTAAATTTCAGGTTATCAAGGGAAAAACTGTTCAGTTAAACAAAAATGTGAAGATAATCCTTGCTTTAATGGAGGAACCTGTGAAAATATAGATAAAGATCCACAATATAAATGCAAGTGCCCTCTAGGTCATATCGGCTACCACTGCAATATACGTAATGAGTGCCATCCATCAAAGTGTAATCACCAAGGAGATTGTGAACCCAGCTTTGATGAAAATGAGCTTTACTTTATTCACCGTTGTTCATGTTATGATGGCTATAGTGGTGCTGATTGCTCAACAAAGGTTTTCTTTTATTCTTTTTTGTTTTCTGTTTGTAGCATATATTTAATTTGACATTTATCTCTGTAATGGCAAAAATATTAGTAGAGTTTAAATATTCATCAGCCCATTTCAATTACAATAATTTGTCAGATTATTATACAAGACTACGTATGAAGTATATTTTTAATGTTTTTCTACTTTTTATTTCAGTTGGCTATCAGTGGAAGTGATGATGATGGTACCAATCTCATTCTTATGATACTCATTCCTGTGATGTCATTATTTATTGTGTGCCTACTTATTGGAACCATTGTGTTCCTGAGGATAGCCAAAAAGAAGAGAGCAACTCGGGGAACGTATAGCCCCAGTCGACAGGAAATGTTTGGCTCAAGAGTAGAAATGAATCATGTTATGAAGCCTCCACCTGAAGAAAGACTCATATAAAATGTCATAATTTTTTTATGCCTGATGTTTTAATATTGCACTTATGATAATTTTAGGTTCCAGGATTTGACTACTTATGTCCAGCTGTCTGCTCCATAAGCACCGGAAAATGATCTTTCAAACATGTGACAAAAATACCCATTTTAGAAATATCTATACTTTGACTAAATCAGTTTTGATTGATTAAGGACCAGAGATTATTTTCAAATTTTACAAACATTTGAGTCATCTATATCAACATATTTCTTCATTAGATAATATAAAATAATGTTTTTTAGAGAAAGAAGAAATGAATCTTGCCTCATTTTATAATTGCATCATTTGAATAATGTATTATTTGTACATATGAATTTTTTGTGTATATTTATTTGATCATTGTATGTTTAATTTTATTAATATCTGATGAAAGTGCATATTAATTGTGTGTTATGTAAATTCTGTATGAAAAGTTCACTTGCTAAATAAAATGAATAAAAACTGATATTGCTTATCAGGATTAAAATATTGTTTTTAAAACTTGCCATTATTAACTTCATAAAATCATTCAATGTATGTATTCATCAAAATATTATTTTATTGGAAAGATGGAAGTTAATGATGTAGGATTTTATAAGTGTATATAATACTATTTATCTCACTTGTAATTTATTATCACAAGATTTTATAATCTGTGCTTAAATTCTCACCAATATTATCTTTTAAAAATAGTATATGATGCACATGATGCATAATATATGATGCATAATATATGATGCACTGAAAAGATTGTTTTACAGGAACAGTTGTTCTCAGAGTAATTTATATAAAATTTTAATTTTATTTACAGTTTTCTTTTACATTAGTGAAGTTTTATTTTATAAATCTGAGTTATTTTTCAGTGATTTTAATGTAAAAAATTTATTGTAAAAAGCATTTATTTAAAATACGGAAAATAATTCATTATGAGTAATTTAAAACTATAAATGTTTATTTATTGAACTTTACATTTATAAAAAATAATATAAGTGTAGAAATGTCATTTTACGCTTGACATGTTTTATACCATTTTTAAAATATAACAGTAACAAATTCTCATTACATAGTTCTATTTAAAATTATACAATAGTATCATTCTTTTGACAAGTAGCTTTTAAAGTAAATACTTTTACTAAATTTTATATCTATTTTTCTCATATCTGCGCAAATGTTTTTTTTTTTTTTTTTTTTTTTTTTTTTTTTTTTTTTTTTTTTTTTTTTTTTAATTGTTAAAAATCAATCGAAATATAATGTTTAAAATAGGTTTATTTGTGAACACTACAAATATGTTTACATATAGACATATTGTATTATATACTGATTATATTTTTTCCAAAATTAAATCATCTAAACTTTGTTTGTTTTACTGTAAAAGAAAGTGAAGCAAATTTCACATTTGTTGAATATGTGGTGATTTATAAAGAAATATTTTTTAATATCATATTCATGTTTGTAATATTGTTATGCCTTGCAGTTAAAACATGAAACTTCGTCCAGTTACAGTTGTGATAGTGTCCGTCCCTCAAGCATTCCACTATGTTCTTGAAAAATTGTAATATTTACCTTTGCCGTCCATTTTTTGTAGACTTGCGTGTATAAAATGATTGTAAAATAAATTAGTTTTCCATGTAAAGTGCAATATTTATTTATCTCTAAGTTGAAATTGTATGTTTGTTATGAAACATTATTCAAAATGTATTTTTTGAAAATACAAGAAAAGAGTAGGGAACTAAAATTTTAAAAGTTAAGATAAAAGGATTTTACTGAATTTCAAATGTTTGTCAATGTATCTCTTTCTAGTTATTCTATATTTTTAACAATATTTTTACATTTGTGTACAGTCAAAACTGCTTATGACAAAATTGTTAAGTGTGGTAGCAAAAAATTATTGTATTGAAAAAAAGCTTAAAAAATGTAACATTTAAAGAGGGGGAATCTAAAACAGTTTGTATATTCTAAAATTCTTCATTTTTTTAATAATCTAGTCATCATATGAACTTTTTGAAAATCGATTTTATTTAGGACTTTAAAAGATCGTAGCAGTCATTGTCTTTATTTAAGAAGATGCTCATATCAGCTTTTATTGTTTGAATCGCTTGATTTTATTTTACTTTCAAAATTTGATATACAAAGTCAGCTTCAGAAAAAGTGGGATTAGCTAAAAGACTTTGCTTGTTAGCATTACAAAAATTCTGAATAGATGCTTCATTTGAATTTCTGTTAACTGCATTCAACCTATAGGCCTTTCCAAATCAGCTTCTTTAGAAGTTATTTCTCTTGCAACCGTAAAGCCATTGTTGGTATTTTGGGGCAAAAAGGATTACTTAACAATATTAAATTGGCTATGGCATCCAACATATAATAAAAATCTGAAATTAGGACAGAATTAAGCGATTTACTGCGGACAGAATTAACTACAGCCAAATACCAAATATCTGCCAACTCCTGAAATCCGCGTTGCCTCTCAGAATATAAACATTCAGTTTATAGTACTCAGCATTGAGTACGAAATATCGAAGAAAAAAATACTTACTGAATAGTGACATCATAATTACCGAATAATAATAAGTCAAAATGGAAATACCAAATTATTGATATAAAAACATTAAATAAATAAGTTTTTTCCCTCTAATCTGCATTGAGGTAAAGCAGAGGATTCACTCAACTCTTTGTTCAAGTTCACGATTCACGTTGTTGTATTTTCTGAGCTTTGTTATTTCATTTCACGAGATTGTTTAGTGTTGCCTTTTTTTTCATTGGATATTTTGTGGATAAATTAAGAATATTTTTAATTTCAGCCCTTTTTAATACAAGGACAGATAAGAAATGCACTCGCGATTTTACTGCTTGCAACGTTGAAAAATGTAAACACGTTGCATTGACGGTAACGCAAAAAGTGCAAATTCTTGCGAAAGACGGAAGCAGGCGCTACTCCTCGATTTATAACAGAATGGCATGGAATTGCAACACGATTGTGTATGATATATGGAAAAATAAAAAAAAGCTGTTGAAATTTTACAGCAACAGTGATTCTAACACCGGAATCTGATACCGGAAATCTTTGCACGAGGCAAAATCGGCAATACATATAATACAGTAAATACAGTAACATACATATAATACAGTAAATAATATAATCAATTTATATATGTAATAATAATTTAATGCATATAATAAGTTATGGCAATAATGTATATAATAATTTAATTAAATGTATCTAATACGCCTTACTTATTTTGCACTTTTAGTTTGAATATTATGATTTATCTTTTCTGTCCTGAAATCCGCACAACCTCTGTCCTAAGCTTTACGGATTTCTGGAATTCTACTGTATTAGAATGACACCTGCAATTCTTGTTTAGTGGAAGACTGTTTCCCCCCCCCCAGCAAAGTAACTGAAGTAGGATTTTTTAGACCAGGGGTCTCCAAACTTTCCAGCCTTAGGGCCATACTGATTATTCCAGTAAGTTCCGAGGGCCAAAACCATATTATCATTGTTGCCGGTGGTAAAAAGTGAAATAGTCCACTGATGAAAAAAAAAGTCCGAAAAAGTACACAACGTTTAAAAAAGGCTGCAAATCGGACTAAAGTCCGCAAAACGGCAACACTGCATATTATTAATTTTCCTGTCATTATCTGTAATTTCTAGATTAATCGTAGAGTACGAGCCATGAGGAGTAACGTGACACGACATCTGGTGGACACAAGCGGAAATAGGTAGTACCTTCTATCGCTAACAGATGGCGCTAATAGCACGTACAGAAGTCAGTTCCTATGACACTGTTGTGAAATAAAATAGTGCATACCTCCTTAAAACGTGTTTGTGCGTGTTTAAGACATCTTTGTAACAGTATTTTGATTTGAATTGTTGCTTTTGTGTGTGATTTAGTAGTATGGAAAAGAAGCGAAAAATTGATAGTGAATGCAGAAAATTCAAAGATCAGTGGAACATTCAGTATTTCGTAATTGAGTCCAGTAACAAGGCGCTATGTTTGATTTGCAATGAAAGCATAGCCGTTCTCAAAGAATATAACATTAAACGTCATTATGAAACAAAACATTTTCAAAATTACTCAAAATATACAGGAAGTTTGCAGACAGAAAAATTCGAAGCTATGAAGCGCGGATTGAAATCGCAGCAATCTTCATTTACAAAACTCGAAACCGAACAAGAGGCTGCAACTCGTGCCAGCTTTCGTGTGGCTCTTGAAATTGCAAAACGTGGAAAACCATTCACCGATGGAGAAATGATCAAAGAATGCATAATTGCAGTAGCCGAAGAAATATGCCCTGAAAAGGTAAATTTATTAAAAACTGTCAGTGTGTCAGCAAACACTGTGGCTCGAAGGGTAGAAAACATCGCTGAAAATATATCCTCTCAACTGTTCGACAAAAATGGACATGTCAAGTGGTTTTCTTTGGCCTTGGATGAGTCAACGGATGTGTCAGATACTGCTCAGGTGTTGATTTATATTCGAGGAGTAGATAAAAGCTATGAAGGCATGAAGAACTTCTTGATATGTATAGTATTCATGGCACAACTACTGCTACAGATATTTTTAAAGGAGTTGAAATGGCCATTAATCAAAAGAACCTCCAATGGAAAAACTTGAAATGTATTACAACTGATGGAGGCAAAAACATGAGTGGGAAAGATAAAGGAGTGGTCGCTCTTGTGTCAAAGGCTGTAGAAAATGACGGTGGTTCAAAACCATTAGTCTTACATTGTATCATTCATCAACAGTCTTTGTGCGGAAAATGTTTGGATATGTCTGAAGTTCTGAAACCAGTCATATTAACTGTTAATTTTATCAGATCTTTTGGGCTGAATCACCAACAATTATGACAATTTATTGAAGAGGTTGGAGAAAATGACTTACCTTATCATACTGCCATACGTTGGCTTAGTTGTGGGAAAGTCCTTCAGCGCTTTTTTGAACTTCGAGCAGTGATCGAAATTTTTTTGAATGAAAAGCATCGCCCTCTTACTGAATTACAAAACAACGCATGGCTGTGGAAGTTAGCATTCTATGTTGATTTGACAAAACATGTGAACGAAGTGAATTTGAGATTGCAAGAAGAAAACCAGCATCTTCCTGATTTATACACTAATATCAAATCATTCCGGAAGAAATTGATACTGTTTCAATCACAACTATGAAGTAAATGTTTTTCACATTTTAAAACGTGTGAAATATTCAGCCACACCACTGAGACTGAGTTTCCTATCGATTTTGCAATCGAAACTTTGAGTGCTTTGAAAATAAATTTTGATACTCGTTTCTCAGACTTTGATGCCATTGCGAATCAAATTAAGATTTTTTAGAATCCTTTTGATACTGACATTGAAACCCTAGCCCCGGAACTTCAAATGGAAATGATTGATCTACAGTGCAGTGATATAATTAAGAACAAATATCAAAACTCATATTTGTGGAATTTTATAAGAGTCTTCCACTGACACAATTTGATAATTTGCATAAATTTGCTCGTGAGCTGTTTTCTGTTTTTGGTACTACTTATTTGTGTGAGAAGACCTCCAAAATGAAGTACACAAAAAATGTTTACAGATCAAAATTAACTGATGAGCATCTTAAATCTCTTTTAATAATTGGTAGAAGTAAAATTAGTCCACAACTACAAACTATTGTCAGTGGAAAATCTCAATTACATAAATCTCATTAGTATTTCATATTTCATTATGCTTGTTATAAGTTATGTTTTTATTAAAATGTATAAAATGTTAGTTTGGATTCATTTCAATAATTTGTTAGTTATTATATACTGAAGTTAAATTTTCTGCATATATACATGTCTTTACTCATTACAATTCTGTGTTTCTTTATCCAACTTATCACAAAAACAATAACAATAAGCATACAACAATGTTATGAGTAGTTAGCCCATGACCATATCAATGTAGATGTCATATTAATAATTATTCAACATAAAATTAGAATACTTCAGTAAACTAAATTTAATTTGCTATAAAAAATATGTTCTTTAAAAGGAGTTTTCAAGTATGCTAGCTCTCCGCGGGTCGGACAAAATATGTCAGCGGGCCGGATGTGGCCCTTGGGCCGTAGTTTGGAGACCCCTGTTCTAGACCATCATAGTGTGGATGTTTACATGGTTACATAAACTTCCACCAAATCATATGATAAGTTCTTTGTACAAATTCTCATGACCAGTTGTTGCCAAAGGAGGCTATGAAAAAATCTTTTTTAAAAGTTTCTTTCAGTTATACTTTTAAATAATGATAATACTAAAAGATTTGAATATCAATGAGAACCTCTCAAAGTTTTGCAAAACTATCTTCTGCATTTCTATAATCCCTCTACTTATTTATCGACTATAAATTGCCTGATAATCTTCATTATGTGATGAATACCAAGAATACAAATTATAACAGAAAATTTCAACTTAAATCAGCCTTTCAATCCTCATATCGATGACCTGCAAGTCAGTTGCCAGGGAGAAGACCTGAAAGACATCGAATGTAAATTGCAGACTTCTCTCAATAGAATTGTTAAATGGTCACAGGAAAATGGTTTTAGATTCTCTACTCAAAAGACTGTGTGTGTACATTTCTGTCGAAAGAAAATTCCTCACCCTGACCCCGAACTTTATCTG